TACTTGCATGTAATTATGCATAATTAATTGTCATTATAATAGTAAGTACATGTAACGTGTAAAAAAAATAAAGTGTTACCTTTTTTATGTCGTCGGAAACAAGCTTCCATAGATATATGAGCATTTTATGTTAGCTAATAAAATATAAAGCTATTTGTGGCCTTCTTTTTTAGTGCATGAATATAAATGGTTTTCTTTTCTTTTTCAAAATGTCAATTCATTTGAAAATAAATGCAAAAATAATTATATTTCATTTGAATAAGGCAGACAGACTGAACTTAAAGAGCATAATCTGACTGTGTGCACATAAAACAAACATTAGTAGCACGACTGCAACACAACCTGAGAGTTTAACTCCCATTTAAAGCAGAAAGCTGCTGTTGTCAAAGCTCTGCAGCATGCATCTCATGGCATTTGTAATGCATTTCAAAAACACAAAGTTCACATACTAAATTGTAACATGTAACAAACTTAAACACTAAAACTCACATGCCAACAACAGGTTTCAGTTTTGCATGCAACAAATTCAGGTTTTTAGTATTGTGAGAATTGACTTTGGTTCATCTTAGGAATCAGCTATCAAGGACGAATCCCTAATAGCTGGTTTGACTTCACATTCATTCTGGATAATCTTCTGTTTGCCACTTGAACAGTTGATATGCGATCTTGTGTAAAAATGTGGCCTATACTGTTTTACGAGGACCTGACTGACAGGTACAAGAGACCACAGATGCATACATAAACATTAAACAATGTGTATGTATAATGTTCAATATAAAATTATATAGCACAATCAGCAGTTATAACAGTGTTCCAGTGCTTCCATGCAAGTCTAAAGAAACAACAGCAAAAGATCACAGTGATATTAATTTATACATTCATCAAATCAATGCTCAGTTTCCGCATCTGAAGCATAGGAATCCTATCAGCAACTCTGTTTTATCTTTATGTAATGCCAGGCTTTGTGAAAGCAAACTTGTAACTTGCAATATAGCAGCACAGACTCACTGAACAACATCTGAGCTTTTGAAACACTGCTATTTCTCACATTCAATATTTGTGCACCTGAACTTCCTGCACGTATTCACAGTTTTGTCACATATTCCATTATATATATATATATTTTGTTTTCGGCAATAAAATCTCAAAAATATGGGTTCTTAATAAATATTTTCTTTTTAAAACCAGTGATAGTCATTTTATAATGTTTTTAAATTGTGCTGTAAATGCTTGAAATAATTTCAATAGAAATACTGTCAATCTCAAAGCAGCCCACATACAAAAATTTGGTTGGCAACACATTTTTTCATATATAAACATAGGAAAGCTGTCAGTCGTCATTACTCGGTGCAGGGTTTCTCAAATGTTGGTTTTAGAAACGCCAGGGTTTCATGAGTTGATGAAGCTAATAATTAAATCAAATCTAAAATTAAAATAAATAAATAAATAAATGGGGCTGCATACTTCATCAAAATTAAATAGAAATCATGATATATCTTAGTGTGATTATCCAAGGCTGCAATTTAATTAAGACTTGTAAAATTAAAAAATTAGTGTATATGAAATTATTTGTATAATTATCAGTCATTTATGACTTCATTTTTATAATTTGTGTTAACACTAATAATAATAAAAATAACGGTAATAATAAAGACCCTGAAAGGGGTCTTAGATGGTTTCATCAGCAGCAATATAAGATGTTTTCATATGAGGTATCACTCTTAAAATCGCCATAGGTGACAAATTAATGCAGTATAATATGCAATATAATATTTTTGGACAAGTTGTGCAGCCCTGTATACAAATAATTTTAAAATAAAACATTTATTAAAAAAAGATTTGTTAAATAAAGTCATCCAAAATCAGATAATTGTGAATATGCAAATCTGTTGTTAGAATATTAAAATATTAACTTAAAATCTCAGCGTATAAGAGGTTCAGGAAAAAGTAGTTTGGGAAGCCCTGACTCAGTGGGCCGTCCTTTAATCGCCACATCACGCCTCTTATTTGTAATTGGCTACCTTGGCTTGATTTGGCTCTACACAGTGGGTGGAGTCTTCACTCTGATTGGTCACCTCACTCTGACTTGATTCTGGCTCATGGGTGGAGTCTGAACTCTGAGGCGATTCTGTCTCTCCAGCCTCCAGACTGGAGATGCACTCAGAGGCTCTCCGTGTTTGCTGATAGGACCGACAAAGCTCCTCCCACTTCTTTCGGTTGGCATCAATTCCATCTACCATCGGCTGAAGCTTCCTATTCAACTTCACAAGAGCCTATAAAATACATTATCATCACTGTATAAAAGTTAATTAGCTGGAGTTAATTCATTTGCTTTATCTACTTAAGTTTTACCTCATATAATGGCTTGCAAATTCCATCAATCCATTCTAACTGAAGCACTGGAAGCTCATCTTTACGATTACGATCAAAAATGGCCTGGATAGGAGAGAGCAAAATTTAACTGATTTTGACTGAGTTGATTGACACTCCAGCTAATTTAATTTTAAAACACAGAGATATCTGTTGGTAAATGAATACATACAGCCGGTGTCAACTTCAGCTCTGATCTTTCCCTGTCACCTTGTTCAAAGAATTCACTGGTCACCAATTCAGCCACCTGGAATTAGAAACATAGATTTATGACATTATATTTTAATGTGCACTATGATATGACCCCAACATACTCTGCAGTGGTTTCAGAGAATATACAGTACAATAATTTTCTTACCCTGTTGATGATTTTTCTTTATAAATCTGACAAATTTGTATATATTTTCCATAGGAAAAAAAATGCTACATATATTTGACATATATGATGATGAATATAATTAATATATGATATATATA